CCAATGGTTGGGCTAAAATTTAAGCCAATCTATAAAAGTAATTATTAAAATGTAATCTAATATAGAGAATCATTTTTATATGATTTAACAAGACATAAAGAGATTAACAATGTCTCCTGCAAGGCAGAGTTTAATATAATTTCAAGCTTTCAGTGATTATGCGCAGCTTTAAAGAGACTATCAAAGAATAAGATTAACTTTAAAGACAATCAATAGTATGCCATCCAGCTGTGTAGTTTAACCTTGGACTGATAACCATCCAATTCGAAATATCTCTGATAACACTATATATCCTTTAAAAATAATTAATGCTGTTTCCTAACTCTATTCGTCAAAGTTGTCACAGATAAAAGAAATAATAATAAAAAACATTATTTGCACAGATACTTATTTAAAAAAAGAGATCTGAATTATGTGAAGGTTCAATAGTTACCTCAGGCTTATCGGACACAAACACTGGATGCTCAGTTTTTTGAAAAACAGAACTAGGATTTATTCGAACATCAAATAAAGAAGTATCAACATTAAACTTGTCATTGTTCTTTTCTCTTGTCGCCAACGGGTCAAACGAGGGTGTCCATACATCTTGTAAAAAGGGATTGTAACTTGGATCATACCAGGGTCCCTTGGAAAACGGGTTAGTCTCACCCGGTTCCTTAGCTTCGCTGTCCACATATATCAGGGGTAAGGTCTCCTCATCTCCCCTCTCCAGGTCATAGGGGTCGGCTCCCTCTGCATAGGGGTCCCAGGATCTGGTAAATCCCTCCCCCGGCGAGCCTCCTCCAGATGCCATGCTTTCCTTTCCCTCTCTTCCCTCTCTACCGCCTCCTTTTCCTCTCTCAACCTTCTCCACCACTCTCTAGCTTCTGATTCTCCCCAATAGGATGGTTTTGGGGGGGAGGAAACCTCTTCGCCATCTGTAATCTGCCTCTTCTCGAGGCACCCTCACTTTCTCAAATTTCCCTGTCCAGGGAACCTCCACCCATATCAATTCCCAACCCCCTGGTATGTTGTCTCGCACTACTTTTATATCATGTCCCGCCTCTACCAACGGTCGCTCCCCCATCCGTGTTCCCGCCTTTTCTATCCCCGTCTGGGTAGCTACTGACAGTCTCCTCACACCCTGTTCCAAATCACAGGTGTCTATACCCTGATGTCTGACTGCGACGCGATTAGCCGTAAATTCCATTTGAGTCTCCTTTTCTCTCTTAAAGGAGGACGACACTCCGGCAAGCACTTCTATAGCCTTGCCTCGGGTCTCACAAATTAAGAGAGCATTTAATTAGAATGAAGAATTTTGAATAACATTTGAAATGTTGTAGCAGAAAACTTATTTTCATCTAACAATTAATGTTTTGCTGTTCCTCAAATTTCAGTACCCTAACAACTTCAAGAAAGTTCCTTTGGGCATGTCACCTTAAAAAAATAAATTGATTCAGTATCAGCTAGTAAAATATTTTGAATTAGCTCACTGAAATCTACAATAATTATTTGCAAATCTAAATTAATTTGTCCAACTCCCATGTAAAATAGAGACAGTAAATGCAGCATTAGTTAATCAAGCTACATCTATAAGAAAAGCAGAGAAAGAGGGAGGGCAAGAAGGGGAGAGAACAAACTCTATTCAATTACACTGCACCTTGGATGATTTGCTTTCCACATCATAATTACTCAGATAGTGAAAGTCACAAAATAATTAGGGAGAAATATTTGGACATTGTATGATTTTTTTCACAGCACATATTAAGTAATTACTATGATTGATTGCTGGATCAGTTTGAAGTTTTATGTAGTGTAACTTTGAAAACTTGTTTGTAAATATTCATTACAAGCTGCAGGGACTAAGGAAATAATCATTACAGACCCAACCAATTTCTACATTGAGCAGAGGGTTGGATTCAATCAGCTTACAGACTCCTTCATTATTCTAAAACTCCTTTATTTGATGATTACAGGATTAAATCAGAATGTAAGTACAGTGGTGCCTCGATTTATGACCATAATCCGTTCCAGAAGATGGGCATAACTCGAAATGGTCGCAAGTCAAACCACTATTTCCCATAGGAATGCATTGAAATGCAAATAATCCATTCTGGCCGAAGGAAAAAAATCATAAAAAAATAAAAAATGTAAAAATCACTGCATGACTCATTGGAAAGGTGATTAATCCCTTCCAGCTGAAGGGGGGGGGAGAGAAAAGCAATCAAGCATGCAAGACCCATTGGAAATGCACAGAAAACCAATGGAGCAGATCAGAAATGCACAGAGAACAAAGGGGGCAGTTCGGAAATGCAAAGACATCAAAGGAAAAAGCAAGGGACGCATGCAGTACTCATCAGAAATAGGGAACCCCCCCAAAAAGCAACCAAACCCCCCAAGACCCATTAGAAATGGGGGGACAAAAAACCACACTCCCCAAGACCCATTGGAAATGGGGGAACAAACAAAGAAACAAACCCCCCAAGACCCACTCTTGTAACTTGAAATGGTCACAAGTAGGCACGTTTATAAGTCGAGGCACTACTGTAACCCCCACTGTCCTAAACTTAGGGAAAGTTTTCTTCCTGAAGTACACTAAATATAGCAAGAGTGGGTAACATGAAGAAGTCAGGAGACAGTATTGTCACTTCTCAAACCAGTGGGGTTCATACGCTACTCAGGAGGCTTCTTGGAGTATTAACTGGCTCTCAAATATAGTGCACTCTGTAGTGGAGAAAGGTATACTAGGACAAATGGGCTTATCTGCCTACCACTGCTTTAAAGGTGATTGCCCATTAAGAAGCTATAAGAAAAAAACTACAGTAAAGTAGGAAGGAAAGAGTGACTTGTGGAATCAAGCAACTCATCAGAAAGCAGCCAGCTAGGTGATAGTGTGTTTCTCCACTAATACTCCACCTCTTCTGCAGCTGACCCTGAAGAACTGCATTATAATGGAAGAGGGGGGGGAGGAATCTAATATATAAAAGAATTACATCTTGTTCTCCATAATGTTATAACTAGTATTCTAACATTAGACATCATGAACTGTTAACTGCATATCATCTATAAGAAGTTACTTCAATAAGCTTTACTAAATGTAATCAAAGATAATGATCTAATTTTATACAATTTCCGTGAAGATACAGTACATCATCAGTTTTAGAAAAGTGTGTGCTTTCTCTTCTCTGTCATTCTCTCAATATGTCAACAGTGATAGTGAAACTGAGGTTTTATAAAAGTCTGCCATTGTTTAGTCACAGATGAAGAATGTGGCAACCACAGCAGCTGGTATGAAGCAGAACAGATTTTCTCTCCTGTTCTTTTCTGTAAGTTGGGAACCACCCACGTAAGGAGAAAGATAATGGATACTACTAAACTGCAAGGCACAGATTTGAGGCAAAAAGAAATGAGAGAAGAGGGGGCACAAGCTTTCATTTAGGCAAGATGTCTAAAAATGGTAGCTATGGGAAATTGAGTCACATCATTTCTGTAATTTTGGAACCATGATAGGCAGGAAACAGGCAGCTTTCTGTCTTCTTTTATAGGGACACAGAGGTCAGCTGTGCATCATGAACAGGAAACATTTAAAGAAAATAGGGCAGTAAATTCAGCACACATCAACCATTTAAACCAGGTTTTCCATGTATTGAGTTGTCAGCCAAAACCGCAGGGGCTCATTAACATTTAGAGCAACTTAAAAGGCAACATCAGAAAAAGTTGATAACATATACAGTAATCCCTTTATGTGGTTGGTGTTTTAAAGCCTTCTAGATTAAAATTAGGATAGCATTTGATTTTTACCTATTACCCAAAAAGGGCACATGCAATCTAAGAGTCTAAGACATCAAGAAGCATACAACTTCAATATTAACACAAGAGTATTTTAGAGGAAAGCACACAACTTTACACAAGGAAAGTCTTGAGCCTTTTCAGAGACAGACAAACAAGCCAACAAGGACACTCATTAGTTTAGCTGAGAATAGTTGAGCAGTGCTCAAAAAACGTTCTTGGTGATTTTCTGAGTCTTGCCATGCCAAGACCAGTCACTGAGACTTACTTTTCCAAACTTCCCCAGAAAATAAGGCACCTCCCCACATACAATGTTCACAGTTTTTTGGTTTGTTTGCTTGTGTGCCTATAATTTTGCTAAATTCTGAATAGTTCAATGCCCTTTCTGTGGAATTCTGCACAACAAATATGCCATTCTGCGCAGGAATTTTAATAATTTTACACAAATTGGTGTTTCCCACAGGAAAAAATATTAACATTCACAAAACACCAAAGAAATCCTGCAAGACATCTCTGGTGTGGAGAACTTGTGCAGACAAAAGAGGGATGTTCTTTCTTGGTTTCCCACTGAGAGTAAGGGACTTCCCATCTCTGGTTTAGCCATGCTGCTTGCACTATCTTCAATCTGGGCTGAAATAATTAGCAATGGATCTTCAGGGCTTTTCTAAATTGGGAGATGCTCTCAGCCTTGCCTGGAGATGTCAGGTACTGAAGAACCTGGGAATTTCTGGATACAAAGCGTGTATTCTAGCACAAACTACGGCTCTTCCAAATGCAATGGTTCATCCTTAGAACCTTTTCAATGAATGTACTTGTGCTTAAATATGCCAGCCTGCCATTTGTGTCTATTGGGCCAAGAAAATAACCTAGACTGCAGGGTTCTGCCATCTTAGGGACTCCCAAGTACCTGGAAAAGCCCTGATCTTATGTTTAACATCAATGCTCAATGAAATCCCACAAAGTATAAAATGTTGTTAAAAACGCCACCTAAAAATGATTATAAATATTTTAATTAATAAGTATTGTGCTCTAAGAAGTTTTGATTTTCTCTTACCAAATTTTAACTTCTTCAGAACTATTAGGGATAAAAAAGCCACATGGCAATTCCCTGTTCCTATTAAAAGTTTGCATTTTGTAATATCAATATATGTACAAAAATTAGTACCAACTGTTAGAGACTTAACTTTTTCACTGCATAGTGAAAACAGAAATTAAATTAGGCAAGCACTTACCATTTTCACCAGAAGGTAATGATACAGTATTTGTTGGCACAGTATCAGAATTCACTTTTCCATTTTCAAATGTGTCATTTTCAGTCTGTTGCAACTGCCAGTTGAGGCCAAATAGATGCATTGCTGATGATAAAGAAAGCATATCATGTAAAAAAAAATCTTATGCTTCGGAGATAAAACAAATAATCAAAACTGCATTTGTTTCTTACAGAGAATGTTTTTATTTAATTTCAGATGACAGAAATAAGACCTAACACAGTTGTAGCCAGGAATCACAGAAATGTTTCATTGTTTAAAATATTTTCTGGTTTAGGGAAAATCAACTATAATTACAAAGATACAAAGCAGTATAAATAATAACAACCAACCACAAAATAATTGTGCCAGTAATCTCTGTGATACTGTTTCCTGCCAGGCCATTCCTTAGTACTGCACAACATATTCCTCGATACCAGAAACAACAAAACGGCACCAATTAAACAACAACTCTTCATCAAAAGCATGTAATATAATCTTGTAAAATTACTTATCCTGATGAGACATTGCTGAGACAGCCTGTTGAAACACCGGTGGTCCCTGCAAGGTTTCTTTTCCCCATTATAACAACAGGTTCTTCTTCCTTCCTCTGAGGTCTCATCAATTTGTACAAAATGTCTCTGCACAAAACTAATATCTCTCACTTTGTGAAGGAAAACACATAGACAGCAAGCATCGAAGATTTGCTCATGAAAAAAGCAATTCTTTTCCATACACATGAGAATAAGACAAATGACAATTACACTGATTGTTGTAGGTTTTTCGGTCTGTTTGGCCATGTTCTGGAGGTTTTTCTTCCTTAAGTTTCACCAGTCTCTGTGGCCGGCATTAGGAACGTTAGTGTAACAGGTAGCCCTGACCTCACCTGTCCGTCACAGCTGGGCAGTGAATCATCAGCCAATGGGGTGACGGAGGGTGGGGCTGAAGAGGGAGGAGCTGGAAGAAAAAGGGGTGTGAAGACAGTGAGAGAGATCAGATCTGGAGTGTGAGAGAGAAAGAGCTTGTTTAGAGGCCTGTGTGCCTACGTATTCAGGGAGAGAAAGTCTGTGATTAATTAAATAAGAAACAGTGATTGACATCGTGATTAGCTACTTGTGATTTACATATTTTATTTTGTTTTTTCAATAAACCTGTTTTGTTTTGAAGGAAACCTTTGTCCTTCTTAAATAGTCATTCCAATTGGTGGCAGCGAGTGTGAAGTGGTGTGTTGGGCATTCTGTGAGGCCTGAGTTGGCAGTGACATCAGAGTGGCCTGCTACGTCACAGTTAGGAAGAAAAACCTCCAGAACACAACCAAACCGACCGAAAAACCTACAACAACCATCGGATCCCGGCCATGAAAGCCTTCGAGAATACATTGGCAATTACACTCTTAGTCTGTTCCCTTATTCTATCCTAGATAATGAAAGGTTTTCCTAAAATAAAAAATCTTGAAACACTTTGGCAGTTTGTCTAGTATTTTATATATTCCAGTGGATAAAACAAGCACGGCTAAAGTCCTATTCCTCTACTTGCTTGCATGACTAAGGCTCTAACAATGGTGAACATGTGGGAGTGCAAGAAGCACCACCTCAACAACCCCATCTGAAGAGCAGGCATTTTATCCACAGAGGTATGGAGAAAATCTTGTAAATGCATTCAGCTCAGCCTGCTTACACCATACCTGTGACTGGGAGCCCTGCTTTATTAGGAATCTTGATCCAGAAGTTCTGTATACATATGCTCAGCAGAATACAAATTCCTTTTCAGACATGACCAATTGCAGGCCTGACTAGCACATGGGAGATGTGGAAATGGGGTATAAATGTGAGTCCACTCCTCCACCATGATTACAGCCCTATTCAGGTGTTCCATTTTGTAAACCTGCAGGGAGATTGAATGCGATCAGAGCCTTCCATGTGATTAGAAGCTGTAATAAAGCAAGAGCTTTCAACTGCATGGAACTGCTGAATGCAATTACATCTCCTTCAAAGAGCCAATTTTGATTGAATCATGCTGGTGACACAGTATCAATAAGCAAAAAAAAAAAAAAAAAAAAAAAAAAAAAAGTCAACACCAAGAAAAGATAAACCATGTTGTGTTGCAGGCATGTGAATTTCAGTGGTGTCTATTACAGTCAACAATTAGTGAGGCTAGGAATTATGGAAGAAAAATTTTTTTTCTCACAAGACTCGGTGACTGTTGTGCCTTATTTTCAATGACCTACTTTATCATCAATAACTGGGCAACAGCACTCAATGCACTCTTTTTTTTTAAGATAATGGGAAGACCTTTCTTCAGAACTTTTTTCCTGGGTACTTCCCAAAATGTTCTTCAAACTGGAGCTGCAAATAGTTTTGGGACAAGGAGGGAGCTGGGGAGGTGCAAAATGCTTCTAAAGCCCCACAAATGGAGTGTGAATTGGTTTCTTCAGAGACAGAAGCATATTCCCACTAGGCAGGTTATGTGGTTACATTACCCTGTGTTCCTTCACAACACTGAAACCAATACTATGCAGTGAGGCAGCACTTGAAGTGGGAGCACTGTCCTCAAGTGTAAGGACTATAAAGGTTCCATATATTAGATCCAGATTTCTGGCTTGTGTTTCTTGTTTATAGATTACTGGCTCAAGCTCTTATTTTTCTATGGCAATGTACATATTCTTTGTGACACCAAGGATAGTTCTTTCCCCTGTAGAATGTTAATACCCCCTTTTTCGTTTTTGTTTCACTCCGATTAAAATTATTAGCCTAACTGATGGAATCAATGATAATGATTCCACAATGTGCAGCACATTATGCTTCAGAATGTTGAAAATGGTATGGCTATTAATAAAAAGATTTTTTTCAATCTCTCGTTTTAATAGTGCTTTACATCCATATCAATGAAATAATTTCTCTACAATGGAATTTTTACCTCATATTTTCATGTCTTTGATTTTGTTTTCTTTTGCACATCTTAACGTGAATTTTTCCTTATTCCCAACACCACAATCCTGTCTAAACATCATCATTTCTGGAGGATTGCCAGAATTATCTCATATTTTAAATGTACTTCACATTAAATTCCTTTTCATGACTTCCCTACTGCTCATGTTTTATTGCTGCCTTAGTTTACTACCCGTATGCAAAATCCCTGAGGCCAAATCTACTGTCAGTTACACTGTCTCACTATAATGGCTTCAGTGCAACAAAGCAAAGATTGATTCCCACTTTGGGGGATTCTAAATATTCATTACTCAAAATGTTCCAACTAGTCTATTTTACTACTTAGCAAGAGTTTAGTATCTCTGGTACTGTGAATGTCAAGGATTGGAAAGTGATGATATAATTTTTAGTATTCCTCCAGTAAATGCTGATAACAACAAATGAATATTAACAATCAACAGCGGAGAATTATCAACATTTCATTATGAAGGCTGACACAAAAATCTCTGTTCTTTTCTACAGTCAAAAAACCTTTCATTACTTTTCAAAGTATTTGGTGTTTTGATTTGCTAGTAAAATTTAATTAGACTGCCTTCTTTTATTCACAGCTAGTAACTGGGCCTGTATGTAAAGTACAAATTCAAAAATATAATGGCCATTTCCAGACTACTGTGACCTAAGGGATTTGGAAGATAGAGATATGCTGGGATTTCATACTTGATGTTTTGTTTAAAGAGAATTTGTAGAACTTTTCTATAAGCAACTCCCATTCTAGCACCTTGTTGGCAAATGGAACTCTGGGGCATGTATTTTCATACCATCTACCCTGTTTCCCTGAAAATAAGACCTAAACTGAAAATAAGCTCTAGTATGATTTTTCAGGATGCTCATAATATAAGCCCTACCCAAAAAATAAGCCCCAGTTAAGTGAAATCCCATCCTCCACCACTGTGCTTTAACCAGAAGAAGATGACATGACTCTATTTGAATAAATATAGATTGTTGTACATGAAAAAATTAAAACTTCCCCTGAAAATAAGGCCTAATGCATTTTTGGTGCAAAAATTAATATAAGACCCTGTCTTATTTTTGGGGAATCATGGTAGTTTCTTCTATGTCTGAATTACTGATGTTATTGCTTTGAATATTTATTTAAAATTTGCCAAAAAATGCAAGGTTAATTGTGTTTCTAATATTCATAGAATCATGAAGTTGGAAGGGGTCGAACAAGGCCATCAAGTCTAACCCCCTGCTCAGTGCAGGAATACAAATCGAAGGATATCTGCCAGATGATTGTCTAAATTTATCTTGAATGCCTCCAGTGTTGGAGCACTCGTCACCTCTCAATGATGGTGAATGATATATACAACTGAATGATATACAAACCTTACTCATCATGCTTTGTAATGTTAATGTTAGAATAACATCACTGTCACTTGGAGCTATGCCCCTCCACCAAAGTCAGGAGTAATATTGTCACTTTAATATTGGTACTACTAGCCTGAGCTCTGAAGTTAGCTGGCTGGATAGCTCAGCGAGTGTCATGAGTGCAGTCGAAGATCTGGAACCTGAAGGGTTAATTGTAGCTGAGGAGAATGCTGAGCAATTAGAAATACAAACACCTGAATCGCCTCCAGATTCTCCTCCCCCAGTAGACAGGCTGAGAGCCAGGCTTCGGGGAAGACTTATAACAAAAAAGTCAGAAGATAGCTTGAAGGCTGCTCGCAGAAACATCCGATCAACTAGCCCTGAGTTCTGACAGATTGAAAAGGCTTCCAGCAGTTCAAGAGCTGTTTTTACTATATAAACAGCTCTCAGATGGCTGAAAGTGTGGAAGCAAGAAGTCAAATCTCTGGCTTGCATCCATGCTCCTGATAACCTTGAACCTTGTTCTCTGGACCCTTGGCTTTGGACTCTGACCCTGGACTACGTTGTGTGTTTTGGCTTTGGACTCTGACCCTGGACTATGTTGTGTGAGTTGGCTTTGGTATTTGGATATCGGCTCTACATTCCCTGAATTCCTGACACAGGACTGGCTTATCGGACTCTGCTGTTGTAACCCCTGGGAACGTGACAGCGAGTTAGGTATCTGGCTGTCGAGCCAGAGGTTGGTAGTCTGATTCTTCACAGTACATCACAGAAAAGCTAGCTTGTGTGGCCTACAGCAAGCTGCACAGTCTG